AAAAAAAGTTGAAAATAAAGTATTGGGTAGGGTTAGGGTAGGTGTAGGGAGGGCTTTATTGTACCAATAAGGTGGCATCCATTTAATAATTTAAATTAAAATAATAATTTACACTCAATACGTTATTATTGCATACTTGTTTATAATGTACTACAATACTGAAGTGCAGATAATTGCCACTATTTGCAACAAGTAGTATACATAGAAATCCTGCTATTTTAACAGTGTAAATGGGTATTTGCACTTAGTGTAAATAGCATATTGCTAAAAATACTGCTATTTTCACTTAGTGTAAATAGAATCCATTGCTAATACAAGATTTGAAAAGGGAGGGAAAAAAAGTTAGGCAAAAGATGGGATCGAACCCGGCTCATCGCGTCAAATAGCCGACAACACAAACGTATCCATCTGCGCCACTGGAGCGGACTTTTTACAGCCACTTTTAAAGTGTTGACAAGCCCAATCACACGTTGCAGGGTGGAATTACTGTACATAGCCTAGTTACACTAAGTGTAACTAGACACTCCGTATTTTTTATTCCATAGTAAGGGCAATTCATACAATACATTTAAACTGAGCTACTTTAATACCATCTCCGAACTTTCTACCACGACTCTGCTGTTCTTCGGCTGGTTCTTCCTGTATACATTGATTGACAGATGTCTCGTCCAATCAGCGGTGAGTAACCCCAAACCAATGGCGCTGTCTCAAACTATACCTACCTCTTCCGGTTTGTCTGATTTGTCGTTGTGTTTTCTGACTTATTTTGTTTTCGAATTTGTCGTTGTGTTTTCTGACTTGTTATAATGTTTTCTGAATTGTTGTTGTGTTTTCTGAATTTTTTATTTTTTTTTAGACTGGCATTTGCGTTTGTAATTTGTTTTCAGAATTGTGATTTGATTTGCATTTCTCGGCCAACGTAGAAAAATCACTCGCATACACAACCAAAATAATAATAAATGTCAGACTAGTCACTATATATATATATATATATATATATATATATATATATATATATATATATACGTATATATACAGTGCACAGCATAAATATATATATATATATATGTACACACACAAATTTCTGAATTTGAAGGATGCAGATAAAATTAAAAATAAACTTAAGCCTTAGTTGAAATAAATTAATTAGAATTAAGCTGCGTTATCATGTAGGTCAGGGTTTCCCAAATTATGGTTTGCATTGCATGCAAGTAAACAGATAAAACATAAACAATTTTATTTTGACACCATAGCTAGACTTTAAGTGGACTCAAATCTGCCACTCTGAAACATGCTACAGCACTTAATTTCATAATCAGACTAAACTATATAATCGCGATTACTGTGCAGCCCCATTTATTTATTGGACAGTTGTAGGCATGTGATGAGTCTTACCCATGCATGTTTTACAGGTTGGGTGGCATCTTTGGCAATCTCCGTCGAAGGTGTGAAGGAAGTAGTCTGATGGGCATGTACGCAGACACTGTCCGGACTTTCTCAACAGGAAGTATCCATTTCTACATTTGAGACAGAAACGGCTGCTTCCTGAGCATTCCTCACATGTGTGGTCACACCCTTGACATGCTCTGCTGGTGGCGTTCACAAAGTAACTGCAGGGGAAATACAGACATGTGTTACAATGCTTTGTCATTTTGGGAAGCATCGTTTTTGAATAATCACAATTTAGTAGCATCAAAAGCAAGTCAGTTAGCATTATTATTACACAACACTCTAAAACACCTGATTCTGTATAATTACTGCTAAACTATATATTTGCAACACATGTGTGCTACTTTCATGTTTCTTGTATCACTCTACGGTTTCTCCCTTCTCCTATTAATGCATGATAGAAAAGGTAATTGTCCCAAATGAAAGCAATTAGCTACTGACTGTAGTAAAAATTTCATTGGAGGATGAAAATGAGAAAAACGCTGCATATTCTACCAATTTAACCTGCTCAAACAGCATCAGTTATAAAAAGGTGGAGTAGAAAAATCTCTCTGGTAATTACTGTACATCTTGCTGCACAAAATACATGTATTTTGTTGCCATTTAGACTGAGAATATTCCAACAAACTGAAATGGTAAACGATTAGTTTCAGATAGCTCTGGTGAGCAGTCATAGTGATAATGTTAATGTGACGCTAATTATGACGCTGGGAAACCCCCTCAAGAGGATCCACAACGTCCTTTCGTGGCCATCTGTTCTCTATCCTATAATGAAAGATAGATGAGAAATTGAAAATGAAAATGCGGTCATCATTTATTCATCTTTCTGTTGTTATAAACCCATGTTGAGTTTCTTCTGTGACAGGTTTTAATGCACCTCCTGAGGAGGAGTAATTGTGGGAGAACGAAGATTTTTTATGTTTTTGATAAACCCTTATGGTTTACCAAGGCTGCATTAATTTGATCAAAAATACAGCATAACAGCAGTCTTGTGAAATAGTAAGACAATTAAAAAAAACACTTATTTCTATTTAAATATAAAGTGACATTTATTACTGTGATGCACAGCTGAATTTTCAGCATCATTACTCCAGTCTTCAGTGTCACACGATCCTTCAGAAATCAGTATAATATGCTGATTTGGTGCTCAAGAAACAATTCTTATTATTACGTTGAAAAAAGTTGAGCTGCTTAATATTTTTGAGTCTTATGACGCTGGGAAACCCCCTCAAGAGGATCCACAACGTCCTTTCGTGGCCATCTGTTCTCTATCCTATAATGAAAGATAGATGAGAAATTGAAAATGAAAATGCGGTCATCATTTATTCATCTTTCTGTTGTTATAAACCCATGTTGAGTTTCTTTCTTCTGTGACAGGTTTTAATGCACCTCCTGAGGAGGAGTAATTGTGGGAGAACGAAGATTTTTTATGTTTTTGATAAACCCTTATGGTTTACCAAGGCTGCATTAATTTGATCAAAAATACAGCATAACAGCAGTCTTGTGAAATAGTAAGACAATTAAAAAAAACACTTATTTCTATTTAAATATAAAGTGACATTTATTACTGTGATGCACAGCTGAATTTTCAGCATCATTACTCCAGTCTTCAGTGTCACACGATCCTTCAGAAATCAGTATAATATGCTGATTTGGTGCTCAAGAAACAATTCTTATTATTACGTTGAAAAAAGTTGAGCTGCTTAATATTTTTGTAGAAACTGTGATACATTTTTTCCAGGATTCTCTAATGAATAGAAAGTTCAAAATAACAGTATTTAGGCGCAATAGAAATCTTTTGTAACATTATAGATGTCACTTCTGATCAGTTGAAAATATGCCTGCTGAATAAAAGTATTCATTAAAAAAGATATATACTTATGAATAAATCAGAAATATAAAAGTATAGTTCATAAAAAAGATAAAGAAACCGAAATAAAGAGGATGGTGTCAAATTTCAAGTCAAACTATCCAATTGCAAATAATAAATAATTCACATATCATACAAAATTGCGTTGCAGCAAATCCTTAAATTTTTAAGGTATTCAGAAGAGAGCAACATAAAAATCTGAAAAAGCAGCTATAAAATTATAGGACAATGTTTTACATATATGCCATTATAATGTGTTTTTTTTGTACGGAATTATAAAATAAAACACAAATTATAATCGGGCCTGTTTTAGGCTTTTCCTTATTTTTATATTTTAGATATCCATCAATTATGGTGATGAAAAAAATGACTCGCCATCTCCTCGTTGGATGTGCCTTTAGAGAGAAATGCACGGATTACATAATGAAAGTGTTTCTATTTTTGATTTAAATTTCGTTTTAAAGTAGCCTAGTAATTTAAAGCTTTCTATATATTTTTATCATGTCTGTGAGGCAATTCACTGAGTTTAGGTTCATCATTGTGAAGCACTCCTGTTCAAGACCAAGACGGCAGAAAGCGTGTTTTCTTTATTTTATAAAAGCACAACGTTTTGTTGATATTGTGAGTGCATACAAATAAAACACTTTACAGTTTAGAATGATGTATTACTCTTACGTTTATGAGCAAAAATGACTGCGTATTTTAAGTTGTTTCCACTGTTAGAAAAAAATGCTAGTGATCGCACTGGCGCCTCCATGTCCTGCAGAGAGCACTTCAGCTTCCACTCTCCGCACAAACGATTGGAAATGCGTCTAACAGCGCATATTTATCTAGGTTAAACATTTAAACTAACATTGTGATATACTTGAACTGTTTTATACAGTATATAGATTTTATTTTAGGCAAGACGTGATGATTTGAGAAGGCTAAATTGATCAAACATATAGCCTAGGCTATGATCAATTCTCGGTCTGCCGCTGGTTGTTACTTAAAAAAAACAACAACTTGCATTTAACAAACAAAAAATGCACCAAACATTTTTCTAAATTTACTTTATTAAAAAAAACTAAACGAAATAATCACTTTTCCATTACATACAAAACTGAACTATTTTAATAGCTGAAACCGTAGTATAGGCTTTTTTTGGGAAAAAAGACTATATATTTGACCTATATTTGAGGCCCGTGCAGGGCTTTAATCCACTTCATCCAACGCTGTTTTGTTCTCATCTGTGAGCATGCTCAGTCTTGATATATGTATTTTACCATTTTGTTGAGTTTAAAACGTGTGACACGTTCGTTCTGCTCTCACTGATCATTTGGTCCCCAAAATAACTCTGTGCATACCCTCAAAAGAAATTCTGCAGGTGCCCCTGGTCCGTGTTGAACATGCTTTTTGTGTACCCTGCTTTTTTTTATTTAAATTTGTAGTTAAAATAAATTAAATATGTGCCCTCTAGAAGCTTGCATTCTGCAAGTGAACGGCACTTTATTGTGCCATCTCAAAGAGGCACAAAATCACTTTCTCTGACTTTTAAATTAAAATGTTCCCTCCTGGTGAAATGACCTACCCAACTCAGTCCGAGCAGTCCTTGACCATCTTCAAGAATCGGCTAAAAACACATCTCTTCCATCTTTATTTGACCCTCTAACTCTAGCACTCTCTATTCTAATTCTATTATTTATTTTTTTTTTAAAAACTTGCCCCTTTTAGACTTGCACTCTATTTATTTACTAACTGCTTGTTTTCTTTTTAAAGAAAACTAACACTTGCTTCTCTAATCTTTTTGCATTCTATGTATTTGTTTTCTTTTTATTTATTATACAATTATAATTCTGACCTTCTGATTAACAAAAGCAAAAAAGGCCTCTAACACTAGCTTGCTCTATTCTTTTTCTATTCTATCAGTTTTCTTTTTTATTTATTATATGATTAAAAAAAAAACCTTGCTATGTGCACTGCATTAAGCTAACAGACTTGTTATAGCACTTGCATATTATTGCTCTTTTGTTGATTTTGATTGCTTCTATTGTCCTCATTTGTAAGTTGCTTTGGATAAAAGCGTCTGCTTAATGTAAACTAAAAATAAATGCATTTTAAAGTTTAGAATTAGACAGCTTTTGCACACAGGCTTACGCTGGTAACTCATCAGTTGACTTTCCTCGTCAATATAGGCTATATTTTTTCACACTTTTCTCATTCTATGTTTCTGACGTTTCAAAAGCGCCTCCTACTGGCTGAGGATGAATGTTCATTTTCAATAATCCAGTCTGTAGTTTTTGTTCAAATCGATGCGAAAATCCACCCACATAACCCTGTTTAAATTAATATCATAATTTATACTTCTGGCTCACCCCTGGTTTAAATGCTCAATTGTGAGGTTTATTATTTTATAATTGATTTTGTTTTTGTGAAAACCTGTATCTCAACTGTAAATCAGTTGCTATTTCATGGTCTACAACATGAAAGAAAGCCATTATAACATGTACATGAAAAATGTAGAAACATTGGACTCAACTATGGGCACCATTGTGCAGCAGCAAGCATCACAACTAAAAAGGAACCTCAAGGTTGATCTAGGAAAATGTGTGCAAATGTATAGGGCCCCATTCCTATATTTTGCCTGGGGCCCCCAATTCACTAAATCCGCCCCTGCTGCGAGAACAGCATGTGAGTAACGAATTGAACTCTCTTTCGTTTCTTCTTCTTGTGGTTTCAAAATTTCTTGTAATTGTAAATCGGCAAATTAATCTGCGAATCACGTGCGTGCCGAACGGTAGGGTCTCATCCGTACGTATTACGGATCAACTGCGATCTAATATGTTTTTTTGATAGTAATTTTTTTTTCATTTACTTATTTAACATGAAATTGTCAAATTGCTACTCCATATCAATCGCAAAGAAAATACAGAATAATTAGAACAATCAATAACATAAATAAATAACAGTGTCATATCTATACACATTTTTCCCAGAATGTTCTTGCGACCCGGTAGCAATTCTTCCATGGCCCGGTAGTGGGTCGCTACCCGGTGGTTGGGAACCTCTGTCTTAAAGTACCTAAACTTATAAGACATGGTGCCCATATGTGCTGCATTCTAGAGGTGAAAGAGTTCAAAGACATGAATCTTTCTCATTATGCATCCGATTTTCTGGCTTAGTTTAATTTATAAAAACGACATACTTCAATGACACACAGGCTTTCCACAGTCCTGTTGCAATGCGTTTGATTTTATTTTCACTGCATCCAATGATTCTTACTTTAGCAATAATTGCAAATTAATGTTAATTAACTACATTTATAAGGATAATGAAAACTACATTTATTAAAATAAAATAAAACAAGTAAGTAAATAAATAAATACAACAATAAATACAGTAAATAATTGATATGATACCTTGGTGGACAGGTGGTGAAGCAGCTGTGTCCGAGCAGAAGCAGGCCTGGTTTACAGGTTGTACAGTCATTACTGTGATGTCCATGGCATGACGCACAATTTGCGTGGCACTGAACACACTCCTGCTTGGCCTCGTCCACATAGTAACCATCCGGACACGTGGACACACACGTCTGAACTGACAAATGGCAGAAATATAACGTGTACAAGACATTACATCATGCATGACAGACAGCTAGCAAGATGAACTAGTAATTTCACTTTATTTCTGTTATTTAGATTTGAGCGTAAATGATGTGATAATTCATAGGTTCTCAAGGACATTTTTAGAGATGTTCACTTTCATAGTCTCTAGCAAAATGAAATCTGGCAGGCAAGTCAGCTCTTACTGAACAGGAAGAGTTTGGGGTTACAAAACTACAAGTAACTATCAATCAGATGACAGAAGGCATGTAGTAGATTGTGTATAACAGGTTTTTCAGCAAAGTTCTGATTAAGTTGAACTTTCTTTATACTAAATGTCATTAAAGCTCAGTTTCATAGGGAAATGACATGTGGTGGGCTCTTACTGAGCAGGAAGTGTTTGGGGTTGCAGCTGAGGCATTGCTCTTTGCCTGCGCCCGAGCAGCGGAGACAGCTCTTGTGACAGGGCTTGCACTGGCTGTCCTTATCGGTGAACGTGTGCAGAGAGCAGTCACTGAAGAACTGGCAGTGGCCGTTCACATCCTTCCTCATGCTGGCTCTACAGGTGAGGCAGGAGGACGGATGAGGACCCGAGCACGTCAGGCAGGACTTATCACACTCTAAAAAACAGTCAGCAAGCAGGTATGGTATGACTAGAATGTTAGCATGATCGGGTGAATGTTATTCCATTTGAAAATGTATTCAAATAGAAAACAGACGTTTTAAATCGTAATAATATTATTTCACAATAGTATTATTTTTATTGTATTTTTGATCAAATAAATGCAGCCTTGTTGAGCATAAGAGGCTTCTTTTAAAAATACTTATGAAAAAATTAATTATTCAAAATTTTGAAAAGCACTGTAGGAAATTGTCCAACACTATTCTGCCAATCTGAGGCAATTTCACCCATAAACTAAGGAGAACATGTATTGTACCTCGACACTCTGCTCCATCCAGGTACGTTTCTGGCGGGCATTGGAACAGACACTTTCCGTTGTGACGAACATCTCCATAATGCCCACAGGAGGTGCAGTCATCTTCATCAGGTCCGTCACATTCTGCACAGTCACTGTGACACGGCGTACACAGCTTCTGCTCTACGTTTGTGAAGTACCGCTTGGGACAGTCACCCAGACACTGATCCTCATGCAGGAAGTAGTACTCTTCACATGCTGAGAGAGCAGGAGAAAGATTAAACGGAGAGGTAATGCCAAACTTCAGTGTAGAGAGAAGAACAAGGAACTTGATAAATATGATTACGAAGGCTGCATTTATGTGATTAGAAATACAGTAAAAACATATATTATTGTGATTTAACGTAACTGTTTTCGACATAACATGTAATTTATTCCTATGATGGTAAAGCTGAATTTTCAGCATCATTATTAAAGTCTTCAGTGCCACATGATCTTTCTGAAATAATTTTAACAGGCTGGTTTGCTGCTCAATTAATTTCAGTTATTATTGGCAATCAGGTAAAACATTGTGCTTAATATTATTAATATTGATCTGTTATGCATTTTTAAGACCCTTTGATAATTCAAAACAACAGCATTTATTTGAAACATAAATATTTTGTAACATTCTGAAAGTCTTTCCTGCCACTTTTGATCAATTTAATGCATCCTTGCTGAATAAAAGTATTTTTTTATCTTACCCAAATGTTTTAAATGGTATCACAGTTTCCAGAAAAATTACATTTTAAATGATTTTCAAACAGAAAATAGATTTTTTTAAACTTGTAATAATATTTCATGATATTACTGTTTTATTTTTGATCAAATAAATGCAAACTTGGTGAGCATAAGAGACTTCTTTCAAAAATATATTTTTTAAATATATATATTTTTTAATTTTTGATCAGTAGTAGCCTAAACAACAGTTTAGTGTATTATACAGTTTAGAGGTTATTATTACAAAATGTCAAGTCGGTGATGAATAATGTTAAGAACCTCACCACTGCATTTGCCCATTTGGTCACATTCAGCGCAACCGTTTGGACAGATCTCACATACTCCATCTTTTATAAAGTGCTTGGAAGGGCACTGATGCACACAGGTGTGTTTGAAACGCACATAGTCTTCCTCACAGCTCAGACAAAAATTGGCTTCCCCCTCACATGAAGCACATCCCACGGCACAGCTGAGACAAACATCAGCCTCTGGGTAACCCCTGTGAGGATGACACAGAAATTATAAGATCTTTGTTAATGTATGGCTGTGTTCCAGCTTCCGTACTTCAACTAAAAGTTGGTACCTTGCTGGTAATGGTACATATTTTTGAGTCTTGATCCACAGAACCATTGCACATTTAGCTAAATTCATTACTTTAAAATTCATCATCACATAATTTCTGGAAAAGAAAGATCACAACAGAACACAAGATACCAAAAAACAAAACAAAAACACAATAAAATAAGATCCAATAAAACACTGCATTTTCTCTACAACTAAAAAAGTTGACAGTGTTAAAATAAATATTACAAAATATAAATAAAACACTGCATGTTCTCTACAACTAAATAGGTTGTAAGACTTATAAAATAAAATAAATACAAATATAAAGTTACTATTTTAGGATTACTAAAATAGTATTACAGTATTCAAAATTAGTATTATACAGGTGTTACAGTCATGCACAATAAAAGTCTTGATCTGCAGAACCATTTGTTGTGTACTGTTATTACTTTAAAGGGTTAGTTCACCCAAAATTAAAATTAGGCTGTGTTTTACTCACCCCAGAGGCATCCTAGGTGTATATTACTTTCTTCTTTCAGATGAATCCAGTCGGAGTTATATTAAAAATTGTCCTGGCTATTCCAAGCTCTATCATTGCACTCAGCGGGTGTTCCAGTGCTTCAGTCCAAAAGAAGTGAAATAAAAAGCGCCCATCCATAAAAAAAAAAAGTGTCTCACACGGCTCCGGGGGGTGAACAAAGGCCTTCTATAGCAAATCGATGCGTTTTTGTAAGAAAAATATCCATATTCAAAACTTAATAATCACTTTAATGTAACTTGCGCCAACAGTTGTACACAGAAGAAGCTCCGGGAGGATGACGTATGAGGTCAGCTTTGCGCATGCGCCAGTGAGTCTCGTGAAAACCAATGTTTGTTAAAGGGAGCAAAGGAAGCAAAGTTTCCTTACTTTAGCAAAGGAAAACCAGTCTCCTCTTGGCTTATATCGAAATCCTCTGACATTCTTCTTTACAAATCCTCGTTTTGTACTTCTAATTCGTGACCGTTGTTTTGATCTCTCCGCTGCGTTTCCGGCGTGCGTCACTTCTGAGCGCCGCATACGCAAAGCCGACCTCCATATGTCATCCGCCCAGAGCTGCTTCCGTTTACAGTGAGCGCAAGCTAGATTAAAGTGATAATTACGTTTTGAATATGGATATTTTTCTTACAAAAATGCATTGATTCGCTACAGTAGGACTTTGTTCACCCCCCGGAGCCGTGAGAGACATTTTTTTATGGATGGGCGCTTTTTATTTAACTTCTTTTGGACTGATGCATGCAATACACGCTGAGTGGCATTAAGCAGCTTGAAAGATCGAAGACCATTTTTAATATAACTCCGACTGGATTCGTCTGAAAGAAGAAAGTCATATACACCTAGAATGCATTGAGGGTGAGTATTTTATATGCTAATTTTCATTTTTCAAACAATCACACTTATTGTAAAAGATTTCCAGTGTCTTTAAAATCAATATAACATAATATAACTCATGTTGACTCTTTTATTAAAATAATGAATTATTGAAATGAATTCCAGAATATAAAGTTTTGTACCGTTTAGGAATTTTCCGTCAGGGCACTTCATCTTGCTCTTGTGGATGCACTGACCCTTGTCTAGAAACATGTCATCTTCACAGGAATCACAGTCGTTATTGTCCGGACCACCACATGATCGGCACGTGTGGTGACACGGCTCACACTCCTGCTTCATGTCACCATAGAAACCCTCCTTACAGGTTTTTACACATGTGCCATCTGCAGGAACAAATGATTGCAGTAAATAGACGGATATTTGGGCAGGTGGAGGCTTAAATGAGGGTTCAATATTTCACCATTAAGCTAATGCATGGATGCTAACTGCTATAATACTGTGGTTTATGAAAATTAAAACAAAGTAAATACTAATACGTCTGGGGGGGAAACTAAAATACATTTTCATGACTCGAAAACTAAAACATACTTTTTGAGATGTATTATAAATCTTCTCAATCTGTCTGCATAAAACATTAAAATGCCACTATACAGCAATAAGACAGACATTTAACACAGCTAAACATTTAAAATGATTGCTCATTAACTTTGGCAGCTCTAAAATATTAAAACAAAAAAATCTAAATCAACTGAAACAAAAAAACAATAACAAAACATGAAAATGGAAAACAAAGTAAACAAAAAACTGTTTTCTCTGCAATTTAAAAATTTATAAAAGTGCAATTATTTCAGTTAACAAAATTTTTTTTATTTAGTTTGTTTTAGTTTGTTAACTGAAATAAAAATAAAAACTAATATACCAAGGAAAAACTGAAACAAATACATTTTCCTGACTAAAACTAAAACAGCTTATGAGTTTGATATTCTATTATAAAAAAAATTAAATAACTGAAACTAAGAAAAACTCTGAAAAACTTAAAACTAATAATAATATAGCGAGAACTCATGAAAACTAAATTAAAAATACAAATTTATGCTAACCAGGGTGCGAACTACTAAGACATGGAACCCTGAAAACGTGATTTGTGAAATTTTGGGGGGTCTCAAAAAATATTGACAATATGTTTTTTTGACATGCAATTTCAGTTTTGTGTAATGTGATCATTGTGGATTATTATGTGTAAAATTGCAAAAATATCGTTCATTCATGCATGACGGCGATTTAAACCTAATTCACTTCAATAAAGATAACTATACATGCTATTCTTGTCATGAGCATCAAGGTGTGGGGGCGCTGCGGTGCAAATTCCACTCATGTTTAGTACATGTTAACTCAAAGATTCGTAGAAAAAATATAAACGTTGAACTCTGTGGTCGATTCTGTGTTAAGGTAAGGCATGTTATTCGCAATTATGTGTTGTGGCTGGGTTGTTATAGGTCTGCGTGACTCTCGATGTCTTAGGCCAAACTGAACGGAGGAATTATGGTATTCTGTAGCCTGACGATGAGCTATCAATTTGTGTCGATAAAGTATAATAGGGTAAATCCTGTATAGTGATTTATCCTATATAGTGCTTGCATAAAGCAAGTAGTGCATACACTTGTAGCTGTTATGTATCTTTGTAAGACATTGTACGCCCTCTTTTGAGGCAAGCGCATGAACCCCCCCTCCCCGTTATAAAAAAAAATCAAGTGTGCTCCCCCAAAGTCCACGGTATAGTTCGAACACTGATGCTAACTCTATATATATATTCTATATGCCATACAGTATGTGTGCACATGTCAAAACCAGCTTCTGTTTAGATTACCCGAACATCAAATTACCTGTTGCATACATAACTGGGGCATGTTGTCACAAAGGCTCAATATATATTCAATGATCATTTACCTTATTATTTTTTCCCATGTGTAGTAATGGTGGAAATATGCTGATATGGAAACCATTTTTCTGTAGCCAAGACTTTACACAAAAACTGACTTTCAAACATAAACCTAAACTAGCCGTGTGCCTCTCTACATCTGTAACTGAGCAGTCAAAATAGTGCAAAGCAAATACCAGGACTGGCAACAGCACATCTGTCTCTCCTCATGTACTATAAGTACATCAAAACTCATGCTGTTTCCCCAGAGGCTCGTTCAAAGGCACGGCGCACACATACAGTTCAGACACAAAACCTGAATGCTGATACAGACTTGCATGTGAGAGATGATCTGACCTGACAGGAAGAAGCCTTCCTCACACAGGTAACATTCAGAGGCATCGCAGGACTCGCAGTGATCATCACATCGAGCACACCTCATTGACAACTTGTCCTCAAACGTCCTCTCAGGGCAGATCTTGTGACAGCTCAATTTCAACCTGCAGAAATACAACATCTCTTACTCTTTACATCATTAGCACATCGATTATATAACTACTCATGAAGTCACAAAGTCAAAAAACATGAGACAGACATACTGATAATAGTCCGGTGAACAAGCCATGCAATGCTCTGGATTCACTAAAGGAAAAGACATACTGTTAAAACACTCTTCATATTACTATAATACACTCATTCAAATTACTAATGATTTAGAAACTTTGACTGGAAATGCATTTTTCCCCCTGTGATATTATGGTGACCAGCAGAGGACGACATTGCTGCATTTCACACACTCAGTTCTCAGTTCACTGGAGGTCAAAATGCAAAACAATAACAATACTGCTGTGTTACTAAATTGTCTTATGAATTTATACAAAACAACTACTTTAAAAAGGAATACTGGAGGTCAAAATGCAAAACAATAACGTAATACTGCTGTGTTACTAAATTGTCTTATGAATTTATACAAAACAACTACTTTAAAAAGGAACACTCCACTATTTTTGAAAATAGGCTCAATTTCCAACTCCCCTAGAGTTAAACAGTTGAGTTTTACCGTTTTCGAATCCATTCAGCCGATCTCTGGGTCTGGCGGTAGCACTTTTAGCTGTAGCTTAGCATAGATTATTGAATCTGATTAGACCGTTAGCATCTCGCTCAAAAAAACTTGACTCTTCTGTACTTACATCGTGTACTAAGACCGACGGAAAATGAAAAGTTGCTATTTTCTAGGCCGATATGGCTAGCAACATCCGATATCGCGCTGCGTAATATCATTGCGCCTGCTGCACCCATGGTACTGCAGCAAAGTTCCTTGATTATTACGCCGGAATGAGAATATAGTTGCTAGCCATATCGGCCTTTTCATTTTCCGTCGGTCTTAGTACACGATGTAACTACAAGTACTAGTCAAGTTTTAAATAGGAAAAATATTTAAACTCTTTGGTCATTTTTGAGCGAGATGCTAACGGTCTAATCAGATTCAATGATCTATGCTAAGCTACAGCTAAAAGTGCTACCGCCAGACCCAGAGATCGGCTGAATGGATTAGAAAATGGTAAAACTCAATTGTTTAACTCTAGGGTAGTTGGAAAATTAGCCTATTTTCAAAAATAGTGGAGTGTTCCTTTAAGTTTTTTGGTTTGACTAAATCAATGCGTTTCAGCCTGCATGAGAAGAAAAAAAAAGTTTATTGTTTATCTGCCTGAGCTGCTGCAGAGAAAGAAATTAATATGCACAGGCACAAATGACGAAGATATGAGTGAGAAATTACTGTTTTTAAGCTTTAAACGTCTCTGTTTCTCAGTTTGAATACGGCACTATTCCTGCAATACTACACTGACCAGCAGAGGGCGACAGCAATAAACGGAATATCATTACACATACACCGATTATGTGTTTTCCAAATCTTTTTGTTAAAGGAAAGATGTTAAGTTTCTCTGAAACTTTATCGGTTTATGCGATTTAAATGGGCTGTAAAGTTGCGGGCTGATATTTTAGACACTTATCTGTGTCTTTACAACTTTGATCTTGACACACTGACTTGAAATGGCTCACCTAGACAGCATTTTGCACACGACTTTTTTGAGCCATGATGCCAAATAATACTGCCTTTAAGTGCAGCCTATGCAGGCAGCCTGCTACATTTTGAGATACAAACCAGACATGCTCTAATTATGAGAATTACAACAGATGAAACGAGATACTGGAAGCTGTGGTGAGACACACAACCCCTATCATTTGTGCACTAGTAGCCTACACACGCATATAGAAATTACTGCTGCATCTAGAGCAGAAACGGGTCCAAATCACAAACCAATAGTCAAATGCTTCTATTTTGTCATTTATAATTTTGTAATAAACTATAAGCCTAATAATCTGAGCAAAAAAAAAGAAAAAAAAAAAAGAATTACCCATGTAAATCCTGACATATGAAATAATAGTCAGATTTTTATTTAGTATTATATTTGATCAGTCTTTTATGGCTTTTACGGCATAGTATGATATAGACAGAATATGAAGTTCACACTCAAGGAGGATAAACCCTTAATTTTTATTCAGAGGCCCAAACGGAGTAAAAAAAACCCTGATGCATCATATTTGATACATTTGAACATGATTTTTCTAAAAATATAATCAAGTAAACCTAAGTTGCTCAAGTCCAGTAAGTGTTAGTCTTTTAATATTACTGACAATTTAAAGTCAGACAACAGAAGGCATGTAGTGGATTGTGTACAACAGGTTTTCAGCAGTTTTGATCATGTTGATAATTTAGAAGCCTTAGAAATTTGTGCATCAAAATATAGAGTGGTATAGAGTGATAGAGTAGGCTTTATAGGGTTAATAACATAAGAACGGAAAATAGTGCAAAACAGTGCAAATTAATAAAATTTTTAAAATGCTAAAATTTTATAACCAGGTTTAATTACAAATTTAGCCCCTGCTAATGTTTATCAGACTATCAAATCGGACGTTTTCAAGACTTTAAGCAAAGGATGTTTTTTTGCTTAAGACATGATGCATTTAATTTCTTTAAGAGCAATGCTTGTTGTGCGCACATCCATCCAAATAATGATATACTGACCGGTAAGGCAATGCTGACAGCCCTCCTCACAGGGTACACAGTCTTCACGATCAAGGTCGACTACTTCACCTACAGAAGAACAAGCATCGCACCAGGAGTCAGTACTTTCATAGTGTCGCTAACATGGAAAAAGAAAATGCACGATATAGATGTACATAAAAACTAGATAATGTCTGTATTAGCATGTATAATAAGACAGAGAGTGTGCGCGAGTCTAAAACGACAGGAAAGAGCATACAGAGGCTGCGTGTGTGCACACAGTAGTGTGTGGGAGCCCTGGAGGCCAGAGCACAGGATCCGTTTATACATGTCTGCCACTAATGATAAGAATTTCTGTTCCCCCACGGTCTCATTTCTGGTGCTATTTCAGTCTGACTTCTGCAGACAAGCTCTTCCCTCATGCTCAACTCATCTCTGACTGTGATAACAATTTGTGAAGAAGATTAGATAAACAGCAGTGGGTGTCGTGAGAAGCCAAACAACATCCATAGAGTTCGATTTACAGATATGCAAGTAGCACAGCAAACAAAACGAGAGAGAAGAACTTCTGTCTAGTGGGGTGAAATCTCATGAAAACATGTCCTTGTCAAACTGCACAGCAAAATCAAAAGGAAAAAGTACATTTTCTTCTACTTTTAGGTGCATTAGCATGTTGTCACACTATTTTCATGACAATTAAGTACATTACTCCCTTTTTACTTCCTGTAATTTTTTTAATGATGATTCTTAATATATTCATGACTTAATAGATTCATTAAATCATAACTTTTTTTTTTTTTTTTACTTTATCACAATATACAATTACTGTGTTAGTACTCTTCAAAAGTATGGGGTCAGTAGGATTTTACTTTTTTATATAAATTAATACTTTTATTCAGCAAGGATTCATTAAATAAAAATGATGATAGTGATGACAGTTAAAATGAAAGTGAAGCCTATTTAAAATTTAAAATTTCTATTCATTAAAGAATCCTGAAGAAACACTTCCCTCATGCTCAACTCATCTCTGACTGTGATAACAATTTGTGAAGAAGATTAGATAAACAGCAGTGGGTGTCGTGAGAAGCCAAACAACATCCATAGAGTTCGATTTACAGATATGCAAGTAGCACAGCAAACAAAACGAGAGAGAAGAACTTCTGTCTAGTGGGGTGAAATCTCATGAAAACATGTCCTTGTCAAACTGCACTGCAAAATCAAAAGGAAAAAGTACATTTTCTTCTACTTTTAGGTGCATTAGCATGTTGTCACACTATTTTCATGACAATTAAGTACATTACTCCCTTTTTACTTCCTGTAATTTTTTTTATGATGATTCTTAATATATTCATGACTTAACAGATTCATTAAATCATAACTTTTTTTTTTTTGACTATCACAATATACAATTACTGTGTTAGTACTCTTCAAAAGTATGGGGTCAGTAGGATTTTACTTTTTTATATAAATTAATACTTTTATTCAGCAAGGATTCATTAAATAAAAATGATGATAGTGATGACAGTTAAAATGAAAGTGAAGACTATTTAAAATTTCTATTCATTAAAGAATCCTGAAGAAACAGTCACAAATTCCACATAATATTAATCAGCACAACTGTTTTCAACATTGATAATAAGAAATGTTTTCTGAAGGGTCATGTGACTCTGAAGACTGGAGTAATGATGCTGAAAATTCAGCTTTGCATCAGCAGTTTTGATCATGTTGATAATTTAGAAGCCTTAGAAATTTGTGCATCAAAATATAGAGTGGTATAGAGTGATAGAGTAGGCTTTATAGGGTTAATAACATAAGAACGGAAAATAGTGCAAAACAGTGCAAATTAATAAAATTTTTAAAATGCTAAAATTTTATAACCAGGTTTAATTACAAATTTAGCCCCTGCTAATGTTTATCAGACTATCAAATCGGACGTTTTCAAGACTTTAAGCAAAGGATGTTTTTTTGCTTAAGACATGATGCATTTAATTTCTTTAAGAGCAATGCTTGTTGTGCGCACATCCATCCAAATAATGATATACTGACCGGTAAGGCAATGCTGACAGCCCTCCTCACAGGGTACACAGTCTTCACGATCAAGGTCGACTACTTCACCTACAGAAGAACAAGCATCGCACCAGGAGTCAGTACTTTCATAGTGTCGCTAACATGGAAAAAGAAAATGCACGATATAGATGTACATAAAAACTAGATAATGTCTGTATTAGCATGTATAATAAGACAGAGAGTGTGCGCGAGTCTAAAACGACAGGAAAGAGCATACAGAGGCTGCGTGTGTGCACACAGTAGTGTGTGGGAGCCCTGGAGGCCAGAGCACAGGATCCGTTTATACATGTCTGCCACTAATGATAAGAATTTCTGTTCCCCCACGGTCTCATTTCTGGTGCTATTTCAGTCTGACTTCTGCAGACAAGCTCTTCCCTCATGCTCAACTCATCTCTGACTGTGATAACAATTTGTGAAGAAGATTAGATAAACAGCAGTGGGTGTCGTGAGAAGCCAAACAACATCCATAGAGTTCGATTTACAGATATGCAAGTAGCACAGCAAACAAAACGAGAGAGAAGAACTTCTGTCTAGTGGGGTGAAATCTCATGAAAACATGTCCTTGTCAAACTGCACTGCAAAATCAAAAGGAAAAAGTACATTTTCTTCTACTTTTAGGTGCATTAGCATGTTGTCACACTATTTTCATGACAATTAAGTACATTACTCCCTTTTTACTTCCTGTAATTTTTTTTATGATGATTCTTAATATATTCATGACTTAACAGATTCATTAAATCATAACTTTTTTTTTTTTGACTATCACAATATACAATTACTGTGTTAGTACTCTTCAAAAGTATGGGGTCAGTAGGATTTTACTTTTTTATATAAATTAATACTTTTATTCAGCAAGGATTCATTAAATAAAAATGATGATAGTGATGACAGTTAAAATGAAAGTGAAGACTATTTAAAATTTCTATTCATTAAAGAATCCTGAAGAAACAGTCACAAATTCCACATAATATTAATCAGCACAACTGTTTTCAACATTGATAATAAGAAATGTTTTCTGAAGGGTCATGTGACTCTGAAGACTGGAGTAATGATGCTGAAAATTCAGCTTTGCATAACAGGAATAAATTACATTTTAAAATATATTCAATTAGAAAACAGTTTTTTTAATTGTACAATTTAAATTGTAAATCTTTTAAATTATAATATTTCACAATATTACAGTTTTTACTTTATTTGATCTTTTTTATTGTTTGTTGATGCATTTTGATGCAAAAAAGCAGCACCACAAATGCTATCATGATGTAAACACAATATCATCATCATAGATCACAAATATTATATGGTCATTTCTTGACCGGTTTTGTGAGATTCATCCATTGGAAACATTATGGTGAAAAATACTGGCAAAAAAGCAAACAAAAACATTTTGGCATTGACCATGTGTTTTTAACACTGGGCCTACAGCTCAACCACTAATTTGATTTTCAGAAGAATTTTCAAATAAACCTCACTCACATTCCAAAAAAAACCTAACCAGAATCTTAACATCAGAAAAAAGAAACATGGAAAATGCCAAGCAAGCAATCGAGAACATTCTAGAACAGTTATGATGCAACTGACCCACTCCACACTCCAGTTTGGCACACGTCCCGTCTTTGGGGTAGTAGGACGGGGTGCAGTGGAGACAGTGACCTGATGAAGTACACACAGTGCAATTTGGAGGGCAGGGGTCACATGTTCCCTTCGAGGAATGGGAATAGCCCTTTGGACAGCTTTCACGACACTCCCCTTCAAAGAGGTACCGTTCCACTCCAAACCTATCTGTGTGAAAACAGAAACGGAGTAAGAATTACAATAAAAGTTTGTATTTTTCTCCGTTATGTGAGGCAGTCATGACTCAGTTTACCTTTGCTACAGCGAGTACATTTGTCAGGCGCCCCGTCAGTACATTCGAGGCATGTGTGGTGGCAAAGATGACACTGTCCATCCCTTTCATACTTCCCAGGATCACAGCGGATCACACATGTCCCATTATCAAAAAGCCTGCCAAAGAATAAAAACTGAAATCTCTCCCCACACAGTGCACATCTTGTCTCACTGTGACATTTTTTGCCTGTGGTGCTGTGAGAAACGAGTGATTTGTTCACACTTCACCTGGTGTACGGGCAGCTGATGCAGTCTTTACTCTCAGGTCCAGTGCACTTTGAGCAGGTTGAGGAACACAGTTCACATTTTTCAGCTTTGTTTAAATACTCCCCTGACAAAAAAATACAGATAACACATAAGCTACATAAAGATCCATAACTAGAATATCCCACTTCATGTAGTGTAGGTAGACACTAAAATGTTATTAGCAGTTCTTCCATGCTTTGTTGGTAAATAATCCAATGGTTCTTGTTGTTTATTATATTAGTATATTTATGTATGTAGCATCAGAAATAACTCAAATTTCCCTGAAGGCACAGTTAGAAAAAGTAGGAAAATACAAACAAAACAAACAATCAAGTAAAACAAACAAGCTGATTAAATAAATACAAATAAGCAAACAAACAAACAAACGAAACAAGAAAAGTAAACATGCTAACAAAGCAAGCAAACAAAACAAACGCATTCAATCAATCAAGCAAATGCAACAAAACAAACAAAAAAGCAGAGTATACAAATACATACAAACAAGCAAATAAAACAAAATAAATACAAACAAGTGAGCAAATGAAACAAGCAAACAAAAACAGCAAACGAAACAAGAAAATGAAACAAGCAAATTAAATATACAAGCACATTAAACAAATACATGCAAACAAGCAAACAAAACATACGAACAAGCAAGCAAACGAAACAAGCTAATGAAACAAACAAAAACAAATACATGGAAACAAGTAAAAAAATACAAACAAAAAATCAAGCAAACAAGAACACACATACACACACACACACACACACACACACACACACACACACACACACACACACAAAAAACACAAGGTGCTTACCTGTTCAGCTTTAGCATTAATAAAAAAAAGCTTCTGGTTGAAGAACTGACCAGCTGACGTTTATGATTGTGGACAATTCAAAGGCCATGAACATGCAGGATTCATAAATCAGAACACTCTCAAAAGAAGCAAGAAAGGTCGTGAAGAATGCTCTCATACAATCAGCAGGCTTTAGAAAAAAATAACTGAAAGCTGAATTTAAAAAAAAGTGATTTTGTAAGTTGCAAAAAACTGACCACATTAAAAAAAAAATTTTTTTTTAAAGTCTTGCACATACAGTCAAATTACTTTAACCAAGCCTGATACCCGTGTTAGTATAACCAAAACATATTTCCCTCTCTAGGTGTCAGAATGGATCAAAACTATCCCAAAGCAATGCTATGGGAATGTGAGAAGAGCTAAATACATTGAGCTAACCTTTAACCCCAGGCTTAGCAATGTATTTGTGAGATTTCCTTTAGAGTGAGCTGGACGTCTATGGCCGACTGACCCTTCTGACGACCTCAGGCTTACGCTCTGATACACTCTATTCACTCAGCTCTGACAGTCCTGAAGCAAACGCTCATGACCCTACATGACCGTAATTGAGTTGTCAATCAGTAGACTTAAAGGGATAGTTCACCCAAAAATGAAA